TGTCTGTCTGTGTGTGTGTCTGTCTGTATCTGTCTGTGTGTGTGTGTGTGTGTGTGTGTCTGTATCTGTCTGTCTGTAATTGTCTGTGTCTGACTGTCTGTGTTTGTCTGTCTGTGTGTGTGTCTCTCTCTGTAATTGTCTGTGTGGGTCTGTCTGTATCTGTCTGTTTATAATTGTCTGTCTGTCTGTCTGTAATTGTCTGTCTGTCTGATATGAACACCTGCTCTCTTCCCATCAGGACACTGGGAACGCTCGACTGAGGAGGATCCTGGAATGCTGCACAGATCAGGATTTCTGTAACCGAGACCTCCATCCGACTCTGCCTCCGCTCAAGAGACCCGGTGAGACGCAGCAGCATTCATAAAACCACAGCAAACATAACAACATCACACAGACGACCCAACAATTACACGACACAACCAGTCACACGCTTGACTGAGACTGAAATGTTTCTCATGATCTCATGATCTGAAAGCTTATATTGAGCACAAATATACATGATAAATTGCATGTATACATATTTCTCTGTAAAACAATTCTTTATGCTAAAATTACATGATCAGAATTCGTCTCACACACACACACACACACACACACACACATACAGTCTCTGACCTGATGGTTTCTGACAGGTTAAACTGTTACAAACCGCAGCTTTTTGGCTGCAGGGGCTGCTGGGATTGCGCTGCAGCGGGTTCCCTACCGCTCTAATGAAAAGGACACAGCATCTCACGGGAGCGCTTGAGTTTCCTGATAGCTGTCCGTCTGTGACACCTCAGACCTCTGTGTGTGTGTGTGTGTGTGTGTGTGTGTGTGTGTGTGTGGTAATTAGTCATTTCATGACAAATGAATGGTTAGTTCTTGAAGAGCATCATTCTGCAAGACAAAACAGGAGCTGTTTAATTTCTGGACTGTCAAATGTATTGTTGTTTCATACAGTGAGTTTTCTTCTAGTGGTTGAGTGTGTGTTAGTCTCCAGTTATTATAATTATCTTCATATCAAACAGTAGATCTTGTGTTTGTGTGTGTGAGTGTGTTTGTGTGTGTGTAAGGTTAGAGTCCCAGCGAGCAGCTCCCTGGCGTTGGGCTCTCATCGGTGTCGTCCGTCAGAAACTCGAGCGCAGAGCTGCAGGAAGACGATCGATTACAACTCCGTTTCCCTTCTGAACACACACTGACCTGAGATCAGAACGAGAAACACGTTTCAAACATGATTTTCCTCAAAATATTGTGCATTTGAGTGTGGAAAAACTATTAATATTGTGTTGTAGGTGGAAGAAGATGATTTAAGACACTAGAGATTTCAGCACATCACTATCAGCACTAGTACTAGTCATGATTAACTAGATAAGCCTCAGATGAAGCTGTTCTGTGTTTCTACGCTCACACACACACACACACACACGTGACTGAAGTGTTTGGTGTCTTTCAGATCAGGACAGCAGAATTCATCACACGGCTCTGTTCACCTCCGTGAGCATCTGCTGCGTCATGCTGATCTTCATCATCATATACTGCTATCACAGGTACATCAGCATCCTCCTCATCCTCATCACTCACACGAGTCTTCATTACAGCAGTGAGTCACTTGAATTCATGTCTTGTGTTTGACGTGTGTCAGGTATAACCGTCAGGTGACACGGGCGCGCTACAGCATGGGTCTGGAGCAGGATGAGAGCTTCATTCCCGCCGGAGAATCTCTGAAGGATCTGATCGAACAGTCTCAGAGCTCCGGCAGCGGATCAGGACTCCCTCTGCTGGTCAGACACAAGCATCACAACATCAGTCCAGTCTCAACCTTCCACACAAACTCTGTTATCTTTTACATACATAGCTTTTTTCAATGTATTAATTTCATTATTTTGATTCAAATGTGTTCAGTCTCTGTAACAGTGGAATTATTATTATGATGGAATTATTATTTGTGGTAATTATTTTAGTGATAATTATCAGAGGTCCGTTGCATAAGCTGCTTCAACTATTATTACAATCATTAACTTTTTTAAATTTTTTTATCAGTTGTATGAAAATTATAATTTAAGAACAAAAAGACTGATTGTCCCTTTTTGATTATCTACAATTTTTATTATTATTATTTTAGACAAACAGAACATTTATATCAACCGTCATATAATAATAAAATTAAACAGAAAATTATACAGAATTATAGAAAATATGCAAAAGTATTACGTAAATGCTACGAGTTGAATTTTTTTTTTGTCATATTCATATTTTGTATTTTTAAAATCTGTATAATTTTCAGTTTAATTTTGTAGTGTCTTTTCATATTTTTTGTCTGCAGTAAAATATTTTACTAAAAATAATATAAATATACACACTTAAAAATTAAACTGAAAACTATACAGAACTTAAAAATAAATAAATAAATAAATAAATAAAAAAATGTTACACTATTTTCAGTCTATTTTTTTACTGTAATATTTAAGTAATGTTTTTCCATATTTTTTGTGCATGGTTTCAGTTTATTTGTTGTGTATATATATTGTTTTTAGTCAAATATTTTACTCTATAGTAAAATATTTATGAAAAGCCATACTTAAAAATGTTCAGTGTGAGGAATCTCTCGCATATCAGCACATGCAAGACACCTTGAACCATCCAAGATAAATTCCTGATGGTAATGTTTCTGCTGAGGTAACCGTTATTAGAAGATGCCGAAATCAGTTCAGGTCATAAAATACCAGGCAACAGATATGTTTTATTGGCTCACCAAAGTCAACTTTGACTCTCATTTGGAGTGTTACATTTGGACTCCACGTAGAATACCCACATACAGCATGTGGAAGTGAAAATGTGCAAATAGCTGTAGTAGTAAATGTTTGTAGTGCTACAGAATTTGCTGGTCTAATAACACGTCACGTCAGACGCTGCAGTTTGGTGTTAATGTATTCCATTATCTCCTCTGTAGGTGCAGCGAACCATCGCCAAACAGATCCAGATGGTGAAGCAGATCGGGAAGGGCCGTTACGGCGAGGTGTGGATGGGCCGCTGGAGGGGCGAACGGGTCGCCGTCAAGGTCTTCTTCACCACAGAAGAGGCCAGCTGGTTCAGAGAGACCGAGATCTACCAGACTGTCCTGATGAGACACGAGAACATCCTCGGTAAGGAAGCTCCTCAGGCTCTCGCATCCGATATGGATTTTTGTAATGACCGATGCCGATATCTTAGAAAGCAGTGTGGCCAATGGCTGATATAACGCTGGATAGTAAAAACAAATGCATAACTGAAATTAAATCTATATTTATTTAACATAATATTTTCTAAATTGTATAAAGTGTAAATAACTATGAAAAATAAATCTTCAAAATAAAAATATTTTTTTAAAGGCATCTTAATTTGGAAATTGTATGAAGTGAAAATGTGTTTTTTATCAACAAGTTGTCAGAAGTTGTTGCACTGTTAGACATATCGGCCTAATAAATAAATAAATATAAAATGGCAGGTATTGGTCGATATATTGGTTGATCGCTAGTTCTGAGTAGTCAGATCAGATCCAGATTAAAAAATGGCAAATATCGGCTGACATATCGGTCAGATCACGTCTGGAAAAAAAAGCCAAATATTTGCTGATATATGAGCTGAGGACTAGTTGTGATTGGTCAGGTCAGATCCAAATGTAAAAAATTACAAATATGGGCCGATATATCGGTTGACCACTGGTTGTAAATGGTCAGATCAGATCCAAATGAAAAAATGCCAGATATTACCCGATATATTGGTTGAACACAAGTTCTGATCCGTCAGATCAGATCCGAAATTGAAGACATGCCAAATATGGGCCGATATATCGGTTGACCACTGGTTCTAAATGGTCAGATCAGATCCAAATTAAAAAATGCCAGATATTACCCGATATATTGGTTGAACACTAGTTCTGATCCATCAGATCAGATGCGAAATTAATAACATGACAAATATCGGCCGATTTATATCGGTTGACCACTGGTTGTAAATGGTCAGATCAGATCCAAATAAAAAAATGCCAGATATTAACCGATATATTGGTTGAACTGTAGTTCTGATCAGTCAGAACAGATCCGAAATTAAAGAAATGCCAAATATCGGCCGATATATCGGTTGACCAATGGTTCTAATTGGTCAGATCAGATCCATATGACCCTGTCTGTCTCCCATGTTCCCGTCAGGTTTCATCGCGGCGGATATCAAGGGCACGGGCTCGTGGACGCAGCTGTATCTGATCACGGACTATCACGAGAACGGCTCGCTGTACGACTACCTGAAATCCACCACACTGGACAGCAAAGCGCTGCTGCGGCTGGCGTACTCCGCCGTCTCCGGCCTCTGCCACCTGCACACCGAGATCTTCGGCACACAGGGCAAACCGGCCATCGCTCACCGAGACCTGAAGAGCAAAAACATCCTGGTGAAGAAGAACGGCACCTGCTGCATCGCTGACCTCGGGCTCGCTGTCAAATTCATCAGGTACAGCAGCTAATACATCTATGGCCTATATCAGTATGCCATTATAATGTTATTACATTAGACTGATATTAGACAGATAATTAGCAAGGCTTAATTTGTAATTTTAGGACAGGTTACAGATTATATAATAGACAATAGAATTTTTCCTGTGATTTATGTATTTTAGTGATTTGGCTTTATGTGGGGAAAAAAACATTACACAGGCATTTGATTTGTAGACAAACATTACAGTTATATAAAGTAACTTGTAATTTCATGTCATGATTTTATTTTTATAAATGAATAAATAAATTATGCAAAAGTATTAACATTTGTTATTAACATAACATACAAGCATATGTAGTTGAATTTTAGTAAATATTATTTTTTAGAAACATAAGATTTACATGCACCATTATATCAGTTATCAGCCAAATCGTAAAAAATTAAATGATACAAAACTATATAAATTTAGTGTTATTTTGAAATGTATACAGTGCACAGCATAAATGAGCACACCCCCTCTGAATAAATATAAAAGATGTATTTTCTTAATGATCACTAATATAATTGATGGAAAGATGGCAAAATCTAAACATATTAAACATATACTTATAAATATATGCCAATATTTTCTGTAAGATAAGTAAATTAGCCAATTTTGTTTAAATGAAGGATTGCATAAATGAGTACACCCTAGATTTAATTCAGAAAATGTATAATATTCTAGTACTTAGTATGTCCTCCAGAACTTAAAGTATACTGCTCTGACACTTCTTGGCACTGAGTGTACAAGTTCATGACAAATTTTCACATCTGTGCTGTTTAACTCCTGGAGGACGACCTCCTTCAGTGCCCTGGTCTTTAATGGGGAGTGTTGCTCAGCTCGTCTCTACAGAATCTCTCACAGCAGCTCAAGAGCGTTAAGATTGAGTGAAATACATGTCCACTGAAGGATTT